ATATACATATTTATAAAAGTAAGGGCGGGAAAAAAGATAATGTTTGAAAATTGTCAAATTAGAAACAAAATACAATATTTCGAATTCATTAAATAAAACATATAATATATAATAATAATATTGTGTATTCATAAAAATTCAGTATTAATATATATATATACATATTTATAAGAGTAAGGGGAGGGGAAAAAAAAAAGAAAATTTGGAAAATAGTCAAATTAGAAACAAAATAGACAAACAACAAAATCTCTAAAAGTGTCGAAACAATAGTTCTATTTAATCGTAGAAAATAATGAAAGAAAAAGAAAAGAAAAATATAAAATTGACTACTAGTGGGCGGATTGAGAAGAATAAAATAACAGAACGGAATGAAATGGGAACGAGAACGGGAATGAACCACAGCGTAAGATAAGACAGACGAAACGAGACGGAACGGAACAGAACTATAGTAAGATAAGACAGAGGGAACGAGACGAATGAGAGAAAAGTTAAACGGAACGGTACAAGTATGGAACGGTATGTAACGGAACGGAACGGAATGGAATGTGGAACAACGTTGTTATAGCGTGGAGGACTTTGCGCGAGAAACAAAAGAGGGAGGAGACGCGCGCGTACTTTGTACACGCGCGGAAGGAAGCAACACTCTCAAAAGTTCATAAAACGCGATAACAGTTTCCGCGCATTGCAATAAGTAACATTGTCGTTTAGTCATGCCAACGTGTTAAAAGGTATTAATAATAATCACGCGCGTTGTTCGTTATTTTATTAAACGCGTGAAAATAATTATTAACGAAACGATAGAAAAAAAAAAAAAAGAACAAGAAAATAAACAAAATAGATAGATAGATAGAGAGAAAGAAAGAAAGAAAGAAAGAAAGAGAGTGAGACGGAGACAGACAGAAAGAGAAAGAAAGAAAGAGAGAGTGAGAAGGAGAGTGAGAAAGACAACAAACAAAACAAAAGAAAAGTTCTCGAGATGGACACGTGATTCCGTGTGAAAGTGTTTTATCGTGTTTTGTTTTCAATAGAAGAGAGAGATCCGGAAAATGGCGCTAGATTCGAAGACGTTAGTTTCAACTACGTCTACTAGTAATTCGACTGCGAATAATTCGACAAATCATTGGAAAGAATTGAGCATTCCTTGCATCGACGATCCTTTCTTTCTTCTTTTTCAAGATATCTCTTACACTAGACGGGAAAATGTCCTGGCGAGAGGTAAACTACCTTTTTTTCTTTTTTATTTATATATACATACGTACATATACATACATATATATATGTCACTATATATATATATGTATATATAGAGAGAAAGTGTATGCACATATTTCTATTATATATGATACGATTCATCGAGTAAATTTGGATTTTCATCAACAAGTAAAAATGTTCATTTGTTCCTTGGTTCGTTCGTTCCTTCGTTCGTTCGTTCGTTCATTAACATTTTTATTGAATACGTTTGAAACTCAGCTTTGTCCCATCTTCTCTCTCTTATCTATTAATAACTCACTTATCGTATGTATGTCTGAATTCTTGTCCTCCTTGGAATGTCGTTGTACTCTATCTCTCTCTCTCTTTCTCTCTCTCTCTCTCTTTTTCTTGACTCACGTATTACTTGTCTCTCTTCTTTTTTTTTTCTTCTCTTTCTATCTTTTTTCTCTTTTCCTCCACTCACTCTTTATATTTCTCTTTCATTTCTACAAACATATTCATTAAAATGCCAATGACCTATCTCTCTCTCTCTCCCTCTCTCTCTTTCTCTCTTTCTCTCCTTCTTTTCTTCTATTTCCCTCTCTCTCTCTCTCTCTCTCTCTCTCTTTCTCCCACTTTCTAATCAACAGAATAAACCTTTTGATTTTGTAATATACGCGTGTCATTTACTCACGCGCGTGTCGATTCATATTTTAATTACAATTAATAACTAAAAGAAGTACGTTTTTTTTTTAATAAGATGAAAAAAAAAAACAGAAAAAGAAAATTATTTTCAAGGAGCACGACGTTTCAATTAATTCATCAGGGAGTTTTCCCTTTTTTTTTTTCTATGTGTCACATCGTGTGTATGTATGTGTGTTCATATATTATCTATGTTTCAATCTATCGTCACGTTTTACATGATCAAAGTTTCTCTCCCACTTTCCCCTCCCCTCACCCCTCCCCTCCCCCTATTTCCCCTACTCCTCTTCCTTCTCCTCCTTCTCCTCTTTCTCTTCTTCCCCTCGTGTTTTTTTTTTTTTTTATATTATTTCACAAAATTTTCGATAAAACGAACGTTTTTCTTCCTCTCTTTGTGTTATAACATAAAAATTTCGAAATAATCTTTCTTAATTAAATTACACGAGGAGAATTTCTTTCTATTTTCTTGTTTCTTGTTTCTTGTTTCTTTTTCTTTTTTTTTTTACAAGATAAGAATTATTCCAGATAAATCTTGCACAACTAGTGTTGGTATTACTTGAACTTTATTATATCATGAAAGAGAATATAAATGCAAAGATTGATAGAAAATGATTTTGTAGAATTATAATGTCGGATAATATCTCTTGACTCATATTAAATGTTAATCATAATGTAACGGTCAAAAGAGAAGCCTAATGTGTTGTGTTGTGTTGTGTTGTGTGTTTGTGCATGTGTTGGTTTATTATCCTCATGAATAAATTAATAATACTTAATCGTCTTGTTCTTTTTTCTTCTCCTTGATATACATACATACATACATACATATATATCATACACGTATCAGCATATAACATATATATATATATGTATATGTTATCATAAAAGACCGAATTTGGAAAAAGTTGAGATTCATATGATGAAATGTCAACATACCCACATATCAAATATGTCCGGTGTGTGTAAGACCGAATATTTAGTTTTATTATTATAAATTAATATTTCACATTATATATAATATATTATAATATAATAATGTGTTATATTATATATAAATTAATTATTTATTATTTTATTATAAATTATATATATTATATATAATTATAAATTATTATTTACATACACCAACAAGTAACCAAATAACCATATGAATTTTAACATTATCCAATTTCCATCTTTTACGGTACATATTATACATATATATATATATATATATATATATATATATATATATGTTTACACGTTGGTGTAAGATCGAATATTTGATATTATTATTAGAAATTTTCGAATTTCAATTATTTCGGACATACACCAAGTAACTAAGTAACCAGGTAACCATGTGATCTATCACGGTAACATATATATATATATATATCAAATATTATAAATAAAATTATAATTAAATTATATACATATATCAATATAATATTGTTATATATATATATATATATATATCATTATAATATTATTAATATATTAATAATATTATAAATATATATATATATATATATATATCA